AGAACCATTTGGCACTGACCTACACTGCCCCCTGAGGGCGCACTTCCGGAAACTTGGATAGGAAAAATAACGTGCAACAATGTTCAAATTTGCCACCACATTTTCATTTCATTGATAAGTTCTCAGGTAGTTACAATAAACAACATAAAAAGGAAACAAATTAAAAACAGACATTTAAAACATGGACATATAATGCACTGATAAAACCATTGGGGAACTGCCGATAAGTAATGATGTGAAATATTTTGTTCCTTTACTTCACCTGCAAAATGGAATCTTGCAAAATATTTAGCAACGCAATAATTCATAGAAATTGCCTGACAAGAAAGAGAAATTTTGTGCCGAAAATTCACCCATAAATCCTGAAATTTATAGTACATTGCAAGCAATGCAAGATGAACAGGTGCGATATTGTCTTACGGTAGGTTTGAAGTAAAAAGCGAGAAACATAAAAATAAAATTAGCAGTTGACATTTTGATGGATTAAAGTTAAATGAATAATCTACATCTACGAAACATTCTGAAGTCCAATCTAACATTTGCCTGACAAGAATTGCATCAAGCAGAGTGAAGGGCACAGTTCTGCCACTGAAAAGAATCAAATAACATGTTGTTTGATGTGGAATCCGGTTGGTACAAAATGCCAGTTTTTAATTTTGGAATCGTTCAAAAGTGCTTAAAAATCATACAATTAAATTGAACCAAAAAACCCTCCAAAACAGCGTGAGGATTCTCTCTTTTGATAATTTGCTGGCTCTGAAAAGAGCCGTTTTTTATTTGTAGCATATGCATGATTGCACACAGTACATGCAGTACCTCACGCTTGCAATAGACCGCATGGTGTAGCTTGGCCCACGGGAAAATTAAACATTAAAAATGAAATTTAAAAATTAGGAAAAAAAACAAGCAAACAGCGTGAGGATTATCTCCCTTTTGATGATTTGTTGACTCTGAAAAGAGCCGGTAGGTTTTACTTGTAGCATTCACACGGACACTCTGTTTGCCGTGGACGGAATAAGTCTGCTGCTGATGAAGCCCCTAGCCTAGGACAGACCACCTTGTCAAGGCTGTTCTTGAGAACGTGTGAGGTGTAAACTGCTTCACTCTCGCCGTTGTTCTTGCAGAAGACGCACCAGGTTGGCTTGGGAACTACCCAGCGAGCTCGTCGAGATGGACCGCTCTCACGGGACAGCTCGTCGATGGTGAAGGGTCGGAAACCGGTGGTCGGCCCACTGTCGATATTGCTGGTGTCCTTGTTGGGCCAGTATGTTTGAGAACCTTCTGGCGGCTCCAAAATACCGGTCCTTGAAGGTGCTTGACAGGTCTTGGTAATGAGACGAGCGAGCCCAAGATAGTCAAAGAAGCGGTCAAATACTCTTGGCGTAGCAGCGGAGGTCTGCTGACTCTCTTGAGACATCTTCGGTTGAGATAGTCTTGACAGAATGGTAGGCAAATCAAAGTAATGACTCCTTTCCAAATAGACTCGACATTATCCTGCAAAATCTGAATCAGAATGCTTTGACGGCAACGTTTCAAGTAGGTGCGGCTTGATTGATACTCTTTAAAGGCCGGCCGCACGGTGTTTGACACGAGCGAGACGGTCAACAATGACAGGGCTCTGGACGCCATCTTGCGGTTTTGTTTTTGTTTTGTTTTTTGGGAAAGCGCTCCGGAGAAGAAAACATCAAAAGGGTGTCGTAAAATATTGTTACATTAACCGTCAAAGGTGGCGGCTTCCAGTTTGTTCCTAATCAACACAGCAATTTCACTTGAAAGGATAAAGTGTTTCTCAAATCTTCCGCTTAAGTAATTGGTTAAACCTGTCCACAAACGCTCCAAGTGAAAACGTTGTGGGAGTGATAGTTGTGACGTGCAGCAATGGTGTTTCCTTTCTGTATGCTTCCACGAAGTCGGATCAATCCGCAAAAGGTGCGAACGGTTCCAAGAACACATGGTTACTTTCTTTACTGTGTTTGAATGTTCCGATTTTGAAGGAAAACTCAAAAAGACAATGTCAAACAGAATCAAATCATTAAAACTTTGAAAAAAAAAGATAGAGTACGCAGTCTATCAAACTGCGCGCGCACTCGATGCCATGGACAAACACACGTATATTTTGGGTCGGTTTATTACATTACGTCTTCTACAAATCAAGTTAGTTGGAGTTGTCAAAGCGTCGTTTGCCCTCATTCCACCTCATTGTAGTTTTGTGTTCTTTCCTTCTTGCTCATTTCCATCTCCTTCTTTCCCGCTGACCTATACAGAGATATCAGATGGGTCGATAACCACAACGACATTTTGTGAAACAATCATACCTGCGTCCCTATATCACAACGCAATATGCCCCCCCCCCATAGAAAATATTTTTTTTGTGTAAAACGAAACACCATCGGTACTGCCAGGATCATGGTGGCGGTCTTCTCAGCTACCATACCTAATACCTAACCTTTTCTACAGAAACATGCATTCGTTTGCAAGAAAAACCCAGCTGCCAGAGCATGACTTAGAAAGGAAATACATTGTACATGTACTTGTAATTTCCGTAATTTCTTCGGTAAACTTTGGATAATTTAAAATCCTTGTTAGTAAAGCTAAACATGGGGGACTAGCTCAAGTCGTAGAGCGCTCACTTTGCATGCGAGAGATACCGAGATCGATACCTGGGTCTTCCAGAATTGAAGTTCCTTTTTTTTTCAGTTCAGAAATTGGAACAATTTTGCCTCTGAAAGCCTGGTTGTCAAACTTTGGCCAAAATGTCAACAGTGGGATCAGTGGGATATGACAAATGAAACTTGCTGGTGGTATATCGCATATTTAGCAGAGTAGAAATCCGTAAAATCTGTGCTCAATATTCAAATTTGACAATTTGTAGTAAATCAAGGATAATAAGCCTGAATTATAATACAGACTGCTTGTTAAGAGTAAACCCTAAATCCTCTATTTAATTTTTCTAAGTATTCCTTTCTTTAGCAAATTTGTCGACCCTGTAAAGAGTAGATTTCTGTAAGGTAGCTCTTTTGTCTGTGTTTTCACAAATTCTGCATTCTGTGTTGATATTCTTGAAGGAATGGAGAGTTGTTGTGGCTTGAAGACATCTTCGGTTGGGGTAGAATCAAACTTGATTTTGACTGAATGCCAGCATGACGAAGGAACTTTCTCACTTAATTCTCTGTGCAATCAAGATATGATGATTTCGTGTCAAGCAAGGACTAAATACTCTATCCTTAAGCTCTGCACCAGAAACCTTTGGCGGCTTGGAAGTTGGTGCGGCTTAATTGATATTCTTAAAGGCCTGCTGTACAGCGTTTGACGAGAGCCGGACAGTCAACAATGACCCTGCTCCGGACGCCATCTTATGGTTTTGTTTTGTTTTTCATTAAAGCGCACAGGCCAAACAAACACCAAGAGGGCGTCCTGAGCAAGGTGATGGCTTCTAGTTAGTTCCTACGTACACAGCCGTTTCAAAGGGGGGAGGTTTTTCTTGAAACTTTCACTGGAGTTATTGGTAAAACCTGTCCACAAACGCTCCAGTATAAATGAAAATATTGTGGGAGTGATGAAGGTGATGCCCAGCAATAGTTTTCCGTTTCTGCATGTTTCTATGCAGAAAAAGTCGAATCACTGAATGTGAGACTGGTTCCAAGAACACACTGTGACATCCATTACTGCGCTTGAATATTCCACTTTTGAAGAAAAGCTCAAGAAAGGACAATGGCAAAAGAAATCAAATCATCGCAAACTTTGAAGAAAAATTACAGCACGAAATTACTCAAACTGCGCATGCCGTGCCATGGGAAACACACATACAGTTCAGGAGGCGTCACTGCGTAACGTCTTCACCAAATAAAATTATTACAGATGTCAGGGTTGCCAACGCGTCGTTTGCCTTCATGTCACCTTATTACGGTTAACCATGCGCCGTTTTACTGGTCTTCCCTTGTCGCATATTTCCATCTCCTTCATACTCACTGACCTTAACAGAGCAATAAGGGCCAATACCTTCAACGGCATTTTTCAACCGTCGCTTCGTCGTCTTCCTTGGATGACATCACAGTTTTGCTTATGAATATGGAAATTCATTAGCATAAAATCCACAAAGGCATTTAAATACCCTTTGAAACAGTGAAACAAAAGTTGACAATAATGTTAACTGTGACATAAAGGTGGATTTGGATAGTTTGTTTTGAAACAAATTGACTGCAGCTACCCTTTAAACAAAAACTTGTACACGACACCTACATGTACGTGTGGGGGATTAGCTCAAGCGGTAGAGCGCTCGCTTTGCATGCGAGAGGTACCGGGATCGATACCCGGGTCTTCCATGTAGATTTTATTATAACCTGTTGTTTTGCAACAGGTTATTTTTTTCACTGCCCACCATTGGCATTGATCAGTGGGGGCGGATGTGGGCAATATGACCAACGGATCTCCCAACTTGAGGATACCATATTGTTCGTTCCCCGGCGTCTGCTGCCGAATATAATTATGGGCCAACATTTGATTGTAAAGCTCATAAAAGCTAAATAAATTTTTCAAATTTTGAAATGCTCAAAAGAATTATTAGAGTTGTCAGAAATTGTCAGATCGCTCCACAACACACAATCCCACATTTTCCGGGGTCCTTCATCGAAACTGATGTCGTTAAGGTTTTTTACTTCGTATTTGCTTTGGTTTTTCAGCACCTCAAGATACGCATAAAAAGCACTGGTGCGAGTGTATGGGATCTGATTACAATTACTTATGCACTGAAGGCTGTCTTAAATCTAAGACATTGAGAAGAAACTAGCATGTTTACTCCTAAGTTGCCCTGCTGATTTCACAGAATTATGTGAAATACCTTTTCGCAAAGTCTTGTGGGAAATTTTCATCCCTCTTATAGACATTTTTCACCCACTGGACTAAGTGTAAACAATACCACCACGTGTGGACCGCCTTGGCCACGGTGATCGTATAAACTCCTACGGGCAGCTTCAACTACGTGCAAGCGCCCGTGCAAATGCAGCTTACTCGACTAGTTTATCTTGAACAGGTAGATTACCATCGCAAAAGTATGCATCTATTACCATCACAACACATCATAGGTCCAGCATGATTGTGACATCATAGGAAAAAGGTCTATATCCAATGAGCATTTGAAGCAATTATGTCATGCACCCAAAAGAAATTAGCCCATCCCAGGGCTCTGTAAGGGCAATGCGCGAGTGAACTCACAACGTTTGAAGATGAGAACATGCAGTGGCGAGAAAACATACAATATACATGTACATACAAAAGACACACGGGGATTAGCTCAAGTGGTAATGCGCTCGCTTTCCATGCGAGAGGTTCCTTTTAAAAGGGGGAAATCGTTATGAAGTATATAATAATTATGAAAGAGACGGTGCTTGGGACCGTTTCATTTCCCCCTTTCTCTTCCTTCCATTCTGAATCACAAGTAAAGTGTGCGTGGTTGCAATAGCGTCCGCTCTAGATACCCAAGAAAAACGCTAGTGCGAGTGTATGGTATCTGACTACAATTACTATTGCACTGAACTAACTAATGAGAGCGCTGTTTCAAAACCGATAAGCTTTTGCAGTCTTGTTTGAATTGTTCACATATCCAATATAAGGATTTGGAGAAATCAAGTCATGCAGCCCAAAACATTAGCCCGTCCCAGCGCCCTGTAAGGGTAGTGCGCGAACGAACTCACAACAATGTTTAGAAAGGCAAAATGCTGTGGTGAGCAGACTATTTTCCTCTTTTTATGTATACGCCTGGTTTGTTTTTACATGCACGGTATACGAAGGGGAAGAAATCCTAGATAAAAACGACTTAGCGCAGATCGACATACACCCTTTTTCAGGAATAGTTTGTCATAATTTAGAAGGGCATCTTATTACATCGTACAAGTACAATCAATGCATGTGACATTGAGCACACATGTACATACAACCACAATGCACGTAGGGGGATTAGCTCAAGCGGTAGAGCGCTCGCTTAGCATGCGAGAGGTACCGGGATCGATACCCGGATCCTCCAGGCTTGAAACTGTTTTTTTTAATCTGCTCCATCAATGAGTTTTCATTTTTATTCGTGGTGATAAGTACTCTCTGAATTAGCCACTAAGTTTTTCTTACAAAACAGTTTCATCTTTTCAAGTACATACACGTATCGCGGTAACAGAATCCGGTACATCTGTTATCACGAGTATACTTGTAGTCGGCAGGCAAGGTGTAGGCTCGACTATATATGTAATTATCAAGTTCGTTGGGAATTGCCTGTTTGCATGGCATTACATGTACAGTTGTACATGCACATAGAGGGATCCCAATATGACGCTTTTAGCGTCGATCTGCGCACTTCCGCATTTGAAAACGAGGCTGTATGTGACAGTTTCAATTCTTAATACGATCAGACGATTGAAAGTAAGGAGTCAAGACACAAAATGCATAACGGTATGTTGAATTCAGACTTTTCAGGCTGCAAATTTTCGTGGAAAAGTCTTTCAGGATGACTTGACACGTAAAATCAAAAGAAAAAATAACGACAATTGACCGCGAACTAACGTACCTGCGTCCGGAGCCAATCCGCTCGTGTGGCCGGTCTTTAAG